TTTTCTGAACACAGCAGTGTAGCTACTAGCCCACCCTGCCTCTGCATATAAGCACCTTTTAATAACCATTAATGATATGTTTCTGTTTGCTTTTTCTTCCCTTGTCAATGTAACACACGAGAGGGGCCTGCTGAGGTGCAGTGTATTTTATTCACGTTGCACAGCACTTTCCTCTGTCTGCAGTAACGCTTTGGAAAGTGAGCAGAGTCTCCCCTTGGCTCCCTTTTTATTCTACTCCCTCACACCTTTTCCTTGGCTGTTTCATAGCACTCACACAGATGGGTTATTTGGAGAACTGAGTGGAGCAGGAGTACTTGCAAAGGAGATACAATTCTTGTTCATGAGCACAGCCAGACTTAATTGTGCGCTGCTAAGGCATCACCTGCAGCCATTTCACCCACAGTGTGTGCAACCCCAACCGTCCTCGCTAGACGTGAGCCCCAGAGAACATTGCCTGGCACTCCTGAGTGCATCAGAAATAAATCCCGGGGCACTTACGCCTGCCTGCTGGACCCACCTCTGCTTTCTGCCTGATGGTTTGGAGCTGGAGTGGCTGTCTCTCATCAGAGCAGATGCTTCGGGTGTAGCAGCCTGATGGAGAACAGAATTTGGCCCAGATGGCTGGTGCTGGTGGGATGGGCTGAGCTATACGGACTCCCACTGCCCAGGCTCCAGCTGGTTCCATGAGGCAGGGCACCCCGGGGCAGTGGGCGGTGGGGAGGGAGGTGGTGGTTCGTGTTCCTCAGATCACCAGTGTCAGCTCCCAGCCCTACAGTTCCTTCCTGCCAGCGAGCACCCTCACACAGGTACGAGCTGGGCTGGCTTGCAGTGGCCCGGACGATTTAACAAAATGTTAACTTCCCAACAAGACCTTCCTAGTCAGGGCTTTGTGGCTTTCTTGGGTCCCTCTGGGCAGAACAAGGAGTCCTGATAGGCTTTTAGAAATTGTAGCTCCCTGTACTGACCGCAATTATGCTGCCTAGGAGCAGCAAAAGTGGGAACATCACCAGGAGCTGTGTCTGTAGTACTGCAGAGCAGTCCGTTCATTCACGGTGCCCTTCTTTCTCCTAGTCATGCCTTCTGCCCCTTACTGGGTCATCTCCACCGACTATGAAAACTACTCGCTGGTTTACTCCTGCACTAACATCCTCTGGCTCTTCCACATTGACTACGCCTGGATTATGTCAAGAGCTCCCGAGATGCACCCAGAAACCGTGGAGCACCTGAAGAGCGTTCTCCAGTCCTACAAGATCGACACGGAGAAAATGATACCCACGGATCAACTTAACTGCCCTCCTGAGATGTAACTCCTGGCACACAGTGACACAGCACCAGACCAGCAATGAACTTCGTTGCTTTCTTTATTATCCATTAGAATTTCTCTATGTAACAGAGAAACATAATAGTCCCCTCGCTAACGGTAGTTTGCCAGCCCTGAGTTACTCCTTGCTCTCATTCCCTCTATTCCTCTCCCCCCTTTTTCATCTTGCTCTGACTTTTGCAGAATAACTGACTGATTCAAAGCTAATGGGTGAAGAAAAGAAACCCTGACGTGCAGATGTGAAGCTCTGCTGTTGCTGCGAGTCCTCCAGTATGTGGGTGGGAAAGGGTATGAGAAGTGATGTGCAAGTATTAGTCCTGGGGAAAAACCTTTCATCACGCAGCCCTAGGTTTGTTTCCCATTTTTGTTTTGATGCTTCTGGGTCTGCTCGGAGTCCACTGTGTCTGAGCTACACTGCGGGCAGTGCCTTCCCAGCGGCGATGTCCAGACATGGTGGGTCGGTCCTGCAGCCTGGGAACTGGGACTGGGGGTCTTGAATGTTTCCTGGTGCAGGGCCGTAGGCAAACGTTGCTGCCAAGTCAGCAGACCTCCTCACCCGAAATCAGATCTGGCCCTTTGCATTTAAAGTCTAAAAATGTCCAGAAAATCAGCATCACTCCATCCCCAGTGTCTGTACGTGTCCTCTCTTGCCTCTAGTGAGGCTGGTTCTGCACTCCCAAGGGGTCAGCTCTGAGGGTACCTGCGAGCAGACAGAAAGAGTCGGGGTTGCTCCCTTGTCCTCTCTTTCGGAGGCTTTTCCCCAAACACGGAGAGGCGGCAGGCTCTGCCTGACTTGCTGCTCACCGCTTTCGTACGTGCTGAGTGCCCGCTGGCACTGCCTCTGCCCTGGCAGGTGGTCACCAGGCACCGCAACAACTCTGCTTGAATAGCATTGATGCAACTTATTAAAAATGAAATCAAAATATCCGCGTTGGGGCTGTTGCACCTTCCCTGTTGCATGACCCTTTTGAGCAGGCTCGGGGGCTCGGTGGTTGGGGTCTGCCCTTCATCTGAGGTCACGGCACCGCCAGAGCGGGAATACAATGCAACATAAGCAACCGTGTCTGAAGTGAAATGGTTTGCTCCAGGAGCCTGGAGGTCTTTCCAGCTCTCTGGGGTCAGGTGTGTGGGCTTCTCCCATCATCCGAGCTACGCCAGCAAACCCATGTCTTGGCTGCGGCTGGCAGTGGCCCCCATCTCCTGCTGCATTTACTGACATGAGGGAACGACGATGTGGATGTAGAATACTGTAAATCTGCAGGAAATGTTCTGCACTCACTGCGGTGGGCCCCTGATCGGTGTGGGTGTGCAGCAAAGTGCTTTCTTGCCCTGTGAGGGCTACAGGAGCTGGGCAGGGAGCCAGCATTTCACTAGCCTTTACCAGTCGGAGGAGGCTGAGGTGGGAGGGAGGCCTTGCAGGGGTCAGAAATAACTGCCATGTTTAAGCCATTATCCCTTTAAACTTTTAAATCCTAATGCCACAGTTCCTGTGATACAAAATCAAACACTCCACCTGCATCCTCAGGCTGCAAGTTCGACGGGCAGACATGCCACGATGCTGACAGCTGCACGGTGGCTCCCAGGTGTGTTCGGTTTTTGGGATAGATCATTTCATCACGGCTTCATCAGATCCCTATTTTCTTCCTCATACGGATGGTGATGCTGGAGCCCACATCCCCTCGCAGCTGTGCTGACAGCCCACGGCAGGGGGGCTGTGCAGGCACCGAGCCCCCGGGGTGGGCACTCAGCCGCCGCCCCTGGATCCGGCCGGGAACAGGGATCCGCAGGTCCTGCTGAGAAACGGGAGCGTCTTCCTCAGTGGCAAAACCCCGCGATGTCTGAGCCCTCCGCACGCCGCGCCGCCTCGTTTCTCGTGTCACGGAGACCTGTGGCGAGCCCGGGTTGTTCTG